GGGCGAACCTTCCAGTCCACCCATCCCTTCGAAGGGCTCGTGTCGAGGTCGTAAAATTTGTCCAAAAGTTCCAACCACTGCTTGTTCTGAAGTTCTTGAAACAGAAGTTCGGCAGTGGAATCGATGGTCCGTTCGGCGGGTTGAAGGTCGGGATTCACAGACCTCACTCTGTCGACCACCGAACTTCTCGCGTGTTCCCGATACTCGGCCTTTGTATGGCGCGGGTATGGCTCCCACAACCCTTGGTCGTTGATGAGGGCCATGACCCACTCGCCCTTCTGGATTGCCGGCTGGATAGTTCCCGGGTGCCAAATCATGTCATGGCCCCAGTCCGCCTCGCTTGATCGAGTGTGGTTGAGMCTTTTGAAGTGAACGGTATCATCCTTGCGAGAAGGATGATGCAGTGGAACATAACTCCCAGAATGCAACAGAGGCGGGGTGGCAGGCCGAGGCGTCAGTCTCGCCGCCAGCTTATTCGGGGTCTTACCCGGGGTGAACGTGAGCACAGGTGACGCTTGGGTGGCCTGGCTTGTTGAGGGACCGGCCGACGAGGAGCCTGGGGCATGAAACACCGGAGCAGGATGGTAATCGATGTCGATGTCCTCGGTGTCGCAGTCCTCCTCCGGGCTAGCCCTGTCGAAAACAATGCCTGTCTCCGCCTCGTCGTCCGTGGAGATCAAGGCACCATAACTCTCAAGCTTCAACACGTGCTCAGACTCAACGAAGTACAAACACTGCAGCTGGTCGAGAAAGTTCTTTGCGTTATTGCATGAGGCATCGTGGTAGTTGTCCAACAACGCTAACATTTGTTCCTTGCGGCGGATGTGCTCAGCGTCGACATCCCTCCTGGGCCGCATTTCCAAAAAGAGGAACTTGTAGATTTTGTTCCTCTTCCGCTCGCTCAACTTGAACCACATGTCCGTAAACGGTTCCCGAACGCGTGTTGGTTTCTCGCTCGTCGAAATGAACTCGCATCWGTTGGCTCCAGAGTTGACCTCGCTTTTGAGGAACTCCAATGTGTATTGCAACAACTCAAAATTCCCTTCCAGCGTGACCACGTGTCGGCCGCTCTTCAAAACCTCCCACATGACTCGCGTGTGCGGCTTGCCAAGGAACATGACGTCATTCCCCTTTTTGCATAAAAATTCCAGCAAATGGGCCAATTGTGTGGGGCTCTGTTCCATCTCCTTGTAGACCTTCCTATCAACTCCAGCCATGGCCGACGGCCACTCGCAAAATGGTTAACAGGTACCCCCACTCTTCACCCTTAGGGTAACCTTCCCCACCCTGAAAAGTGCAGTGGGGATCATGTTTTTCTTTTTTTCTTTTTTTCCCTTGACGTTTGTATGTGCCAAGTTTGGTGTTCGTTGGGTTCCTGGAGATGGTTGTTTTCGGGAGTGGTGAAAATTGTGAAAATCGACAAATTGAAATGTTGGTGAAATTTCATGAAAGTGCACTTTTGGCTTGCTGTTTTATATGTTTTTAATTATTTTTTTTCGGTTTTTGTTTAACAATAAGTTAGTAAGAAGTGCACTCTATAGATTGGTGTGAAATATGGTTAAAATGGCCCTTTGTTTTTTTTATAAATGGGGGTGAAAATTTGGGGGTCGGTTAACCTTCTGTCCACAAATGTCCGATATGTTTGTCGAGGTCACTTTCTGAGGTGCCACGACAGCTGCAACGTCACCAGGTGCCCCGACAGATGTAACGTCACCTGCCGACAACCTAGCATCGTAGACGACACACGTATTGTCCCGCAAATCGTCACCTTTGAAGAAAATGTACATGTGGTCGTCAGCCAAGTACAAGTTGTTCCCCASTGGAAAACGTTTCTTGTGCTGCGTCCTCCTGACCCACTTCCCTGCCATTGCCTTGACAACGGGCAGATGGCGCAGGCTGGTCATAAAGGAGTACTCCCACCACCGAGGGACAAAAGCGACGTCCGTCCAGTGTGACGGAAACAATTGCTCTAGGAGGGAATTCAAACTCTTGAAAGCTTTCGGCGTCCACTGTTTGAAGTCCACCGGCTCGCACAGATCGAGAACGCACGTATGACATTTGGTGGTCCCAACCGCTTTCTCCAACTCCGTGACGGTCACCCTCATCCGCGCCTCTAGAGGGTCAACGCCGAACAGGGCGATGGATGTCACGTCCCCCCAGTCTTTCCACAAAACGTTTACCACGCCTTCGGCAAGCGCGACCTCCATACTCTTCGCCCTATTGCCGGTCAACACGGAGAAGACCTTGTTCTTCGAGCTGGCGGACAACGTCTTGTTGAGGGCGAGTTTTTCCGTCGCCTTAAACCACTAGTACCTTTCTCACGTGGGAAAATAAGGAAAACTGGTTGTTTTCCCAAACTACTGAATTTTTGGAGGTCGGGCCCGACGACGACTGACATTGATAAATCTTATCGGCGATCGTCGTTTCGTTTCGGCCTCTGAAGAGGCCGGACGCCTACCCGAGGCCCGCTATTTTCCCAAGAGGCAAAGGTACTAGTGGTTTAATCATCTTGCCGTCCTCGCACCCCATGTACAACGGACAGTCCTTGAACAGTGAGGTATCACCGACAAGCTTCCTGCTTCCCACAATGCGCCATCCATTCAGTGCTTCTCGAACTCCACCAAAATCGCCTCCCGTTTCTTCAGGAAGGGATACGCACGTGTCCAGTCCGTATCCGSCCAGTTCTTTTGCATGAACTGGTAGTAGTTCCATAATCGCACCAAGATGCTATCACACTTCAGCAGGTGCACTGCTTCCTGTACTCCCAGCTTCCCTTGCTAAGCTAATGAAGCGGAGCTTGTCTTCACCCACAAGACCTCGCAGTTGAGAACCTTCTTGAGCAACCGACATTTCTCGTTGTCGGTAAGGGTTTCCATGCTCTTCCAGCAGTGCAGATCCGGCTTGGTGACGTGGACGAACCAATCGCCTGGCTCTTTCTCCTTCTTGCCTTTCTTTTGGGGTGCCTCCACGACGATGTTGTAAACGACTTCCTTTCGCCCCAGCTTATTTTTTTCGATGCGGCTGACACCGGGCGTGACGTCCTTCACTTTCTTTTTCTTTGTGATCCACTTTGCCCCTTGGGTGCCAGAAGTCTCCTCGTCTCTCATTTCTCGAAGAATTTCATACCCAGTTCCCACGTGCTTTTCCCGATCATCACCAGCGGAAAATAAGAACGAAGGGCATCGTTCTGCTTTTTAATATTGTCCTTGTCCTTCTCATCAGCGAGAATTTACAAGTCGTTGTAAGGAGTCTTGTGAAGCCTCTGTGCATAAAACTCATGCTATTTCTGCACCTGAGCTCTATGTTATCCCCTGGCCGCAGCCGAGTTCGGCCGTGGCCGCGGCCGAGGCCCCCCCAGCCGCGGCCGAACGCGACCGATAATTTCGGCCCAGGCTGCGGCCGGTCGGGAAGGGGGATTGGGGGGCGGGGAACGGGTTTCGAGTCAGGGGGGGGTTCCCCTACCTCCTCGGAAAAAAAAAAAAACATAAAAACTTCGAAAACGGGGGGATGGATTTCAAAGACTACCAAAAAATATTAAATAAATAGAAGAAAAAAAAAAAT